GTGAAGATCTCAGGTTGAACTTAGAGGACTTAAGTTCAGTAAATACACTTTTCTGTATGGAAGTGCATCCAAAGGACAACAACATGGATGGAAGCTGAGCACTGTATTTCCAAATTTTACAAAGGGAATTGATTTTCATGAAAAAAGCCTACTGAAAAGGCACATGCGAAGTTCTACCTGTATTCAACCACTGCCCCAGGGCAGCTGTGTTGCCTCTGCTCCCTGAAACGAGCTCATGCCCTCTCCTGAGCCCATTTTGACCTCTCCATCACACCATGATGCACATGTACCACAGTTTACAAACCAGCACTATAAAGCTACAGGTGACGGTAGTATGATATAGTTAAGTCGTATTATTGATATTGCTCATTTGCTGTGCAGTTACAGTGTCATATAGTAAAAACTGTTGATAGGGGCCCAGAAAGCATTCACCATGCAAGTATAAGCCCTCTACAGAGGTACGTTAGTCCTCTTAAGGCCAGTGCGGGCAGCAAATGTTGAAGGCACTGCACTCGCCAGCACAGCAGTCTTTCTCCGCCACTCTAAAAATACTTCAATGTGCATGCAAGCCTCTTTTCACACTTACATACAATTTATTCTAGTGGTCTGCAGAAGTCAAAGCTTTTTCTTTTTTGCTTTTTATTCCCTGCCTGTTCCTGAGGGACTGTGTATAGCATTGAAAAAAATAACCTGGTTTGGTTTCACCACCTCAAGCCCACAGAGTAAGAGACCCCAAAAGCAGCTCCTGCTTCTGTCCAAGGTGCATACTGAGCCCAGCTGGAGCAGAGGAACAGGGAGAAGGTGACACAGGACAAGCGGGTCATGGCAAGAGCCAAGGCAAAGACCCCCCATCTACTTAATTACCAATTAATAATTGTTCCTTCTAGTCAAGACAGTAAGTGAAATCAGGGAATGAAGTTTGGCTCAGATTCTTACAAAAAACCCTGATGCTACAGAGAAGGTCATTAAATACTTTTCTTGACGGAAATGTTTTTGCGGTTGAGCATATAGCTGACTGGAATTTCCTACCTTGCTCCATGGCAGCTATAAATTAGCTTTCTCCTACGCTCCTACGAATGGAAAATGTCCAGCTGCAACTGGGGAGCAGTGGCGGGAGGAAGGACTCCATATCCAAGGAGGAACACAGCAGGGCCACAGAGGGGACCATACTCCTTTCTGCTGTGAAGTGCCTGGCTGGCTGGGAGGAGCAGCCGACATTGCAAAGGAAGGGACACGCAGGCGATGGGGTTGAGGTACAGGGAGATAGAGGTGTGAACGCAAACATCCAGTGACATGGGGCAAGGAAAGCCTAGTGGCAGTGTGGAGAGCCCATGGTAGTGACCACTGCCAAGGGGTTTGGTGCCGCATGAATCTTAATTGCTTGGTTTTCCCCTCACCGGTACAAAAGAAAAAAGATACAAGTTCTTATACAGCTTTTGAACCAAGCCAGCTTTATGAAACATGGCATGCTGCCTTTCTGCCTGCCAGAAAATGCTGCCTGCTCTCTCCTCCTATGCTCCTTGAGATAAGACTCTGCTCACCCCTGCCTTACCTCTCCCTAGCATTTGGCCTCCCTCCCTTCCCTCTGCTCCCAGCACTGGTAGCTACCTTTTTTGCCAGAGCCCTTTGGTAAATACAGTGGGGTTCAGCAAAACCTTTAAGCATCCACCAAGGGACCTTCAGCCTAAATGCTTGGTGCAGCGCATTTGATGAATGGGCTTCACAAACAGCAACAGCAAAGTGTTAGCCAGAAAGTAGCAAATTCCTCAGAATGCACAGCCTTATATCTTACAAGATCTTAGACATTCGCGAAGCCTGAGGGTGCAGAGTGGTGGTCAGGAAGTATGCTCACGGTGCAGATCTGTGTCACCTGCAGCAGCCGCTGATGGCTCGCTACCCTCTCACCGTGGGCTCCACAATCCCTCTCCTTCCCCTGCCCTAGACCATGAGCTGGTGAAAAGTGATTCATTTTGTTTGGTGGCCAAGCTGCCATGGCAGGAGTGAGTAGCAGTGTTGGTGGTTAGTCTTAGCACGTGATAGATGCGGCTCATTCCCCAAGCAAGCGCGGTGAGATGCCTTCTTGTGTTGCAGGGCAGGGCTACGTCAATTGTCCCATAGTCAATTGTCCTAGTATCTAAGGCAAACAGGGATTGTTGGGCTCATCTAATTTATGCAGCAAACACAAATTAAAGGATTAATCAGAGAAAGAGCTGCTGGAGCTGTGTAGCAAGAAGAGGCGAAATACCAATAATGAAGACAATAATGCATTGGGCTTATGATGCACCTGGCTCCAATCAGAGCTCTTCCCAGAACTGCCAGATTGCAAATAATGGACCAAAAGAAAGAAAACAGGATGGACTGATCTGCAGCACACTGTACTTCTCGTGGGACAGCAGCATGCTTGGTTATATTTCCACACACATTACACAGTAAGACCACTGATGTTTTTTCTGACTGATCAGCTAAAACATCTACTTAATTATACTCCAGGCAGACTGAAAGCAACAAATGAAGATCTGTCAGCATGTTTTGTCTTGCTTTTTTAGGAACAAGACTCTGAGGTTTCTTGGAGACCATTTTTAAGAGGCTTTTCCTCTCCACTCCCTTCCAAATGGCCCAGTTGCTTTTGTTGGATTAAAGTGTAGTCAAGCATCACAAAAGCAGAGATATGTTTAGCTTCCAGCCCAGTTTCTGGGTAATGCCTGGTTTGCGAGTGGTAATTCCAGTTGTTTGTCCTGCTACAGGGCTGTAATTTCTTCCTATCAACAAAGACCCATCTGCTGAGGATCTGTCAGGCAATGCGCTGGCTGCAAAACGCACCCTGACATTGCACTGCAACGTGAGATTATGAGGAGCTTCTGTTGCTGAATTACATGATTAAAAGGAGCACAGTAGGTGATGAGAGCTGCAGGACGACTGCACAAATGTCCTTGAGAGGGCTGGACCCTGTCTTTCAGCAGGGTCCGGAAAGGTATCAGCAAAAACCAGTCTGCAGTGAAAGAACAGAGTGTGTGACTGGCACATTGCTTCCTAAAGCCTCAGAGGAGGAGTGCATGTGGTTAAGCCCTGGGACTTCAAAGGAATAAGATGAAGGAGGGTTCAATGCTAGCAAAATTGAAGGTTTTTATAGGAAATAAATGGCTTTGTATCTCATCAAAATGGTAGAAGTCCCAGGGGTAGAACAAATGACAGAGGAGGTTGTGGAGAAGAGACGGAGGAAGCCAAGTCTGGAAGAAAGAAGTGAATAGACAAGAATGAAAGAAAACAGATGGTGAAAATGGGGTACAGTAAGGCCTTCTAAGGCTTGTCAATACTCTTGGTAGTTAATTGGTACTTACATTTAGGGGTGCTTTACAGCGTTGCATTTATTGCTATAAGAAAAATCTCACTCCACCCCATAGAGCCACATAGGCAGATGTTGTGTACAGGAGACAGTCCTGGCAGTAAATCCAGAGGCACTGGTTAAACTGCAAGGAAAGACAAATACAAAACACAAATACACCAGTAAAGTCCAGCAAGAGCAATGTCAGACCACACTGTAATAATTTCCCTCTCTTTCCTCAAGTCCAAGTATACAAAGGCAAAATACCCAGCCAGTTCTGCAAGAATGATGTTTGAGGAGCCTTAGGCCCTCTCTGTTTTGGGGCTGTTTGACAGTACACTATGGCAAACCTCACCCCATCTTTAGTGGCATCAGCTGCTTCCCTGTTTTAGGTTAAATTTAATGATGAAAGGTAGCAATGGGGCAGCAGTGAGGGTCAGCACAGCGGTGGGGATGTCCGCTGCCAGCGGGGCAGAGTTATAGGGTGACATATGGAGCAAGGGGCAAGAGGGGTCTGGAAGGTGAAAGACACAAAGGGTTCGGTTGGAGGTCCAAGGGAGGGTGAGAAGGTTGCCAGAGTCTTGCTGTGTCTCTGAGTGATAACCCGTGACAGGTACAACACAGTTGCTGAAGTTCATGCTGTCTCCCGTTGACAGTTGCCTGTGTTTGAAAAACAGAAGATTTTGCAGTGTTTTGGGGGTTCTTAAATCTCACCAATTTCCGTCACGTTGTGGCAAAGCTGAGCTGGGAGACAGCTAGTGTTTAATCCCTACTGAAAACGAATCAAAACAGGAAACCAGTTTGCCTCCAAAGAGTGAACACATTTGTAGTGAATCCTTCAGAAGCGTGCACCAGATACCAAGCCTTAGCTCAGCTCCCGCCTGCCATGTGCCGGCGTCCGCCTCACCTCCCTCTTGCAAAAGATGAGTGCCACTCGCCAAGGAGCTACGGGGCAAGGATTCAGTAGGAAATAGCATACACCAAGGTAGCTGGGGTACTTGGGTGTTTGTTCTTTTCTTACCCTTTCCTAACTGCCCATACTTTTATCTAGGTATCTGGTATCTGATGAATAATGAATAATAACGCAGCAGAGGATGCCAGAAAAATAGTTTTGTCAGCAAGTTTTTGAGGATATTATTTATTTCAAAATTTCCTGTTATTTTTTCTTAGCTAAAAACCCAGACAGAACAAAAACAGAGAGGTTTTTTTTTTCCTTGGAAAATAGATGCAGTAAAAATGTTGCATTTTAGATAAAATGCATCGGTTTTAAATTCTCAGTACTCAAATATTTTTTAATAAAATATTTATTGTTTTATAGCTTTTCAGTATGAAACAGGAGTGTTAGTAAACTGAATGTTTCATGAAAATAATTCTTTTTTATTAAAAGAGCATTTCATTTTGTTGGAAGAAAAAAATAAAACCTGAATTTCAACCAAAGGTTTTGACTGGTTCTCTGAGAATCCATGTGCTGAGTTGAAATATATGTATGTGTATGTGCAATCCATGTAGAAGTGCCATATATAAGATTGATTCTTAATCCTTTTAAATGTCTTACATAATCAGTGAATTTGCTTCTGCTCCATTAAAATTAAATCTCCTTGGACATGACAGTCTTGTCTAATTATTCACTTAATCCACAATCATTAGCATTAACCAAGTGCTTTTCTCTATTTTGTAGAAAAAAAGGACTTTGAAGGGTTCTGTGGAACTTTCCAGGATTAAATGTGTGGAGATTGTGAAAAGTGAAATCATCATTCCCTGTCAGTATAAATACCCTTTCCAGGTGAGTCTCTCTGATGACCATACTGATAGAGATATGACTTCATTTTGTATTTCAATAAAATTCTCCCTCACAGTGCAGTCGCTAATGAACCCAACACCAGGGTAAATAACAACAAAGGAAGAAAAAGCAGATTGAAGTTTGAAATGAACCAGGAAATCAGAGACTGAGTGTTATTACAAGATCCATAAACTCTTACACTCATTGGTTTTAAATTGGAAAGGATCATTAGATCTTCTAATCCTATCCCATGTTTAACACAATATTCAGCTATCCCAGTAACTCACGTTCAGAGAAAGCCCATCTTTCACATGGGGAATCCACCCAGCGTTTTGGCCAATTTACCTGTGTGGTCCTGAAACTAAATACATTCAGTGGCCTTTGCATCAGAAACTGGTCAATGTGATGTGGTAGGGAGATCGCTCCAGACAAGAACTGAGAGGGCTTTTAGTGACGAGATGGCTTAACAACCAAGAGGTGGACAGTGCTAGCTCTAGCATGAGGAACGCATTGTCTAGTGTTAATTATTAATACATATGGGATACATTTACATTGCCACGTAAACATAAATGCCACAAAATATTTGCTGAGTTATTGCAATACAAATTTGTAGTTTATTAGGTTGTTCCCTGTGCTGCCATTTATCAGAATTTTATCATATTAGTGACAGTATTTTTCTCAATAATTATGGTGTACGGATTTCTCCAAATACAGGGCCATCTCTGTTCACAGATGGCTTTAAAAGAGTGAATTATCTGGACTCAGATTTGCAGATAAAAACTAATGATCGTAAGCTATGTACACAATAAATTTTGAAAAAGATCGGTAACCCTATAAAAATGAAAAAGACAACCATAAAGCAAGATTATTTTTTTTTTTTTTCCCATTCTTGTTATCTCAAAGCCAGCATCAATTTGGAGGCTTGGCTTGGTACTGTCATTGTGACAAATCATGAAGTAGCTTGTAGAATTTTCTCTAAATCTTCATTTGAACAGTAAAAGTGCATATCCACCATGCTCTAGTCTGAGCCCTGGAAAATGTTACCTTGCAGAGGGATGAGAAAGGAGAGGAAATAATTTCACAAACTAGGTTGGGTCAGTAAACACTCCCTCCAGCTTGGGTTGGACCCCAGCCAGGATCATAAAAATTGTCCTGGAATATTACAAAATGTTGCTATGGTGGTGCATAATGAGCACTCAAGAAACCAGATGATCAGAGTGTTACAGCCCTGTTTATGGGCATTTGGGAGCAGCAGAAGATGCTGTTGTATGCTGCAAACAGCTCTCGATATGCAGCCTGACAAGAGAGCTCTTAACTGGGGCTAGGTAAGAGATGCCTGACGGGGGGAAAGCTTGATGGGGCAACCTCAACCACTCTTAACTTGAGTGAACAAGGACTGCAGAAGGAACAAATTGTTTTCGGTCTGAATTTTCAAATCTGTATCTCCATCTCTCCAAAGCTTGTAGGAATAGCAAAATAAAGTGAAGGTAGTGGCCAGTACTGGTGGGATGGTAACGGTGGATCCGTCATGATGGCCAGTGCTCCGCTGAGGTTGTGGTAATCATTCTCACTTGGAGCACATCTGAATTTTGTCCCACAGTCAGTTTTGTGGTATTTTGTAAAATGTCTGGGGTTTTTTTTAAATATCTCAGCTGTAAATCTTCTGTGGAACAACCAGTGGCTTTTTGGTTTTGTGTGGCTCATCTGGCAAGTCAGCCCCTTGCAGAGAGGCATGAAATGAGAGATTTCGTACAGTTGTGCGTGCTCATGGCTATGTCTTTTGGAGATCTACTTACTGCCTTAGATTGTCAAAACATTATACAGACATAACAATAATATCAACAGGAGCGGCTTTAAATAAGTGGAAATTATTCCTCCCCTATTTCCATTTTTTGTAAAAGAGGTTATAATTTGTCTCTCCATAGTATGCAAAGCGACTGAGTCACATGGCTGTCTGTGTGTTCCTGCAAGGGCTTCAGGCCAAGAGATAAAAAATATTTCCTGTTCTTTAAACAATAATCAACATTGCCTCATCTACACCCCTGGACAAACTTTAAAAAACAGCTGCTCTCTTGTAGGAAATTCTGTTTAAAGACTGTGGTCAAAGTTTTTCAAAGCATCTGTGCATCAAAGAGACCAGGCCCCATTTCGAATTAAATTGTTGAAATAAATATTGGAAGAGAAATAAAAATTATGCATTACATAAAATTTTAGTCCCAAATGTAGTCATCCAATTCAGTTTCTGAGTCATTTTGGTTCTTGTGATGATTTTACTCCCTGGTCTGAAACTTCACAAATGTTCTGTATTTCTCTTCCTTCATTTGCTCATCATGAAGGCCAAGTTGATGAAAACAACATCTTGATTGCTCATTATTCATCTGCTCCAGCTTCTTATTTTCCTCTATAATCCTACTGGAAGCTATTAAAAACTTTGAAGAATAATAGTAATCCAAATAATCTCCAGGGAGTTGCTTCAGATTTATACTGACACAAGAAAAGCTAAATTTGGCCCTTAGATCTTAAGAAGATCTTAGCAAGAAACTGCTAAGAAACAGATACCATTTCCCCAGAGATGCTTTAGAAGGATAAACTGCAGCCAGCGAGTAACGAGCTGAATGCTCTGCAGATTGAAATTGCTACATCTCCATTGATTTCATAGGCATTTCTTAACAGCATAAAATTGATCTAAATCACTGCTTGTCTAGAATTCTTTCTTGATCAGGATTTCTACACCATTTTAAATAATCAGAAGTCAATGAGGTTAAGAGATGCTTCTGAACAGGCCCTGTCACTCCACTTCCCCACATCATCATTTTGTGTGTAACTTGTTGGCATGAGGGCTGCTGCCCGTTTCCTTCAGTGACTCCATTGTGCCCAGCGTATCTGGGATTGCTTCTAATGGCTGGCTCCCTTCTTTACTCCTCTCTCCAGATCGTCCACGATAACTACATACTCTATGTGTTTGCACCCAATCGTGAGAGCCGGCAGAGATGGGTCTCTACGCTGAAGGAAGGTAATAAAACCCCTGTGCCCACCTAATTGTTGAAGTTACTTATCCCAGACCAGTTTTCTCTCACAAGCTATACTGCAGAAAAAATGTGCAAGAGGAGACAATGTCTTATATCTAAGCACATAAAGAGGTAATGGGGAATGAGGTTATAAAATCGAATTGCTTGTAAGTTTGGTGGGTGTGTTTTCGGCAGTGGTGTGTTTTCAGCAGCAGTGGAAAACTTGGACACGGAATGCTTTATTTGCCTCTTTCTAGGATAAACTGTTAATATGTTACTGTAATTTGTGATGAAGATGAGATGAAGATTTTTCTATGGCTAATTTTTTTTAAGAAATTAATCTCTTCTGCTTAGGAGATTTTTCAGCTCTTATTAATAGATTTTTTGTTTGGATGACAACCTTCTTAGAGAATCATGATTAAGAAACATTTTTGCGGGTAGCTTTCATTTCCTGTTCACCTCCTGAATTATGCTGTGGTTCACTGCAATGATTCTGAAGTGAAGGCACAAAAACTAACCACTGCAGGCAGAAACGAAGCATAATACTTGACATAACGGAGGTGTTACTTAGTTACATGAAAATTGCACCAGGCTTCTGTCATAGCTTTTTCCTGCTTTATAACACAAGTTGCTATATTGTTCACTCTGAAAACATTGTGCCTGATGGAGTTATTAAGTTCATGCACTTACTCTTCCAACCAGCTATTCCCTTTCTGGAGTGCACCTGCTCCAAGCTTCTACTTTATCACGTCTTCTCATTCAACATTTTGAGACTGTCCCCTCCCTTGGACAATTTGAGTAGTGTCTTGAAACAGGCCAGCAGAAATTTTTTGTTCTATTTAGGAAAATTGTTATTACAGAGAGAGAGCCTGAGCTTCAAAAAGAAGGACCATTAATCACTCATGTAGACATTCAAGACTGGTATTCACATGTGCAAAAACTGTTTAGTGGTGCTGAATGTCAGCTTGTACAGCTCCTTCTGAACACCAAGTCAAAGCAGCAAGCGTCCAGGTCCTACAGATAAACATACCGTAAATTGTAGTCTTTCATGGGAATCACCAGTACATGCCCTGTCAGGTTTTATTTCTTTTTATGAGACCTTGCTTCTGTGGTTTTGGTGTTTATTGGTTTAAAGAGAGTCACTTTGGTAGGATTTGGTTCTCCCACAGTAGAGAAGTATGGGCTCCATAACCAGCAGGAAGGCTATTCCTCCACATCGATAGTGGCATTCACTCGTTTTAGGAGAAGGGAAAACATTAATGGAGGAGGCTGATAATATTCACCAAAGCTTGGTTTGACAAGAATAAGAAGCTTCTTTAAAGTGTAGATTATTTACATTCAGTTGTAGATGTCTTTCAGAGCTGATGTGAATGCAAATGAATTAATTTTCCCCCTCCTTTTTCTTCCCCTAACATTTTTCAGAAACCAGAAACAACAACAGTTTGGTTTCAAAGTGTCATCCAGATTTTTGGATAGATGGCAAGTGGAGATGCTGTGCTCAGACAGAGAAGATGGCAGCTGGCTGTGTGGAGTATGACCCCACCAAAAATGGTATGGGATTTGTTAAGACCATCCTGACCTTGAAAATATTTATTCCTAGCAAAAGTAAAGGATTGAATCTGTCTCATACAGAACATAAAAGAACACTGTGTTACATTTCCATCAAGAGACATGTTGCTGGCTTGTTGGGATATTCGGGCTTATCTTTTACTGTATATGGCATTCTTTGTTTTGAATTAACATTTTCCTCTGTGTGATACTTGGTGCTTGGAATGAGATGGAGAACTAAGAACTTGATCAGCTGTGATCAGTCAATAAGCCATAATAACAGCTTTCTTGAGATATATATGCATTCAGCCCTGGGTGTCCCATTCTGTTCTAACTGTATTTCCTCTGTGATTTCAATGGCCAAGTGTAATCTTTACTTTGTCTCCTGAAAAAGCATGTAAGTAGTCAATCATTCTTCACCCAAGACATTTTCACCTTGTGTCTGGGTTATTCCTTAAGTCTGTACCCCAGTTTCAAACCCAGGCTGTGTGGCGGCGAGTCACTGTGTAAGTGCAGGCTGTTGGCACGTCTTACTCTAAAAGACCAAGGCTTGCCATTCACTGGTCTTGTATCACCTTTATCAATTCATTACCTTAATGGTTTCTCCCTTGGTTTTGTCCAGATCTACTTCAAATTATCTCTCTTGATTTGATTTCAGCCTCAAAGAAGCCTCTTCCTCCCACTCCTGAAGATAACCGGGTGAGTGCAGAAAGGCACGCTAAGCTGTCCTTAGTGTCCTGTCCCGTGTGTTTAACTAGCAGAGGTGAATATATCCTCGTTAAGGTTCACCACGGTGCAGCGACCTAGAATATCACCTGTGATAACATTCCTGGGCTTTTCTCTTACCTTTTCCATACTTTTCCATAAGCCATAAATCAGCAGCATACCACTAGAGTTAGGTTAAGTCCTGCAAAGACAGCTTGGTTTCACAAATAGCTTTCCAATTGTCAGTGAAGCTTCAACTGTATTTTTATTTCAATCTATAGAAAGGGAAACTGGGGAAGCAGGAGGGATATGAGACAAGCTACTGAGAGGAGGAACAGAGAAGTGACTTTCCAAACCCACTTGTGGATGGGACAAAATGTCATTGGCTTATTTAATAAGAAGGAAGAAGCACGGTGGTTGGTAGGGCTGGGTGCCTTACTGGAGGGCAGCAGGGCATTGGGACAGTCCCTCTAGGGAGGTCATGGAGATTTTATCACTGGAGGCTTTTAAGAGGAGATTAGGAAACATCTGTGAAGAATAAATCAGACAGAGGTAATCCTGCCCCGAGAAGGAGTAGGTAACTATTTTCTGTGCAACTGCATTTTCTATATGAAATTCATTGTTTGAAAGTGCTAAAAATTCTCATGTTGCCACCATACCCCACTAAACGCCCTGGGGTACTTTCCTAGCTTTGAGGCTTTTGAACCCAGAGGACACCAGTGCTGCCAGGGAAATATCATTTTAGAGAGTATGCCATTGTTTTTTATGAATGTGAATATGATGAGCCTTTTGCCTAATTTGTGCAGAAATTGTTGTTAGACCCAAAGGAAGCCTTAGTCATAGCCATATATGACTATGAAGCCCAGAATCCGCAGGAGCTGACGTTGCAATATAACGAGGAATATTATGTGATTGACAGCTCTGAGGAACATTGGTGGCTGATTCAAGATAAGAATGGGTAAGTCCCTTTTCAAAAGCCAATTTATAAATTCTTTCTAAATCCCATTTGTTCTTCCATTAACATATATGCTGGCCTCTTGTATAACTTCTGTGAAGCATTCTCTGATATACAGGAAAAAAATGATGGAAGACTATTTACAGTAACTTTCTTCCTGTTGATGTTGCTTGTATTCAGGCAGCTGAAGAAAAGGATCTGAAAATTAATATAAAAATATAAACAGTCCCTAGCCCAGGTTGATATTCTCTGTCATACATATGGGGGGAAAAAATTGTGAAAATTGTGAAACTCTCCAAGTTTAGAGGTGCAATCTGTTGTTTCCTTCTCCAGTAACCTTATTAAATACTTAACAACCAGCATTTCTATCATGCAAAGAGCAGGCAAATCTTTCAGGGTTGATTCCTACAGATGCAGAGAAAATCCTGTCTGTCTAGCGCACTCACGCCATGTCACATTTTAACAGGCATGAAGGCTATGTGCCAAGCAGCTACCTGGCGGAAAAATCACCCGAGAATCTGCAAATGTATGAGTAAGTTGTGCCTATGTTTTTCTTGTACCTCTAAGTGCCCTGGATTTGTTTTAGAAGCTACAAGCCTCAGATGTCCCTGCCCCACATAATGTGCTGCTGCTAGCGCTGGGGATGCTCAATTCAGAAGCTTTTCAGCAGAAACTTTAGTAGCCTAGAAACGCTGACGTGGAGTCTTTTGATGTTTTCAGATGGTACAATAAGAACATCAGCAGAAGCAAAGCAGAAACACTCCTCAAGGATGAGGTAAACCAGTGTTATGTGTGGGGTGGATGGGCAATAATAATTAATTAATGACAAATGAGGAAAAGCCTGCAAGAGCTGCTTTGTGTAAGAGAGAACTGAACCATGGGTTCCTGCTGTGTTGCTGTCCTTGGCTATTCTTAGTGTGCGATGCAAGATAAAGGACCACTAGCAACCCCCGCTTACCTCCACAGTAGCTGAGTGTGGGCAGAGAGCTGTGCCATCCTTCCTTGGTCAAACATACCCAATAACTGGGGCTGATGGAAAACAATGTTTCAGAACAGTGTGTAGACTGAAAATTGTGATTTTAGCTCATCTTTTCTGGCTCTGCAGGAGGCCTGTGGATGCCAGTAGTTCTCTTTGAAAATCTAACCAATCTCATGCTGAAATATTTTGGGTGAAAGCCAAAAGTATGGGTTTGGGGTTTTTTTTAGGGTTTTGTGTGTGTGTGTGTGTGTGTGCATGTGAGCGTGCATCTTTAATTTTTCAGTTGAGCCAAAGTTTTACAGTGAAGACTGTAGTGAAAACAAAAAGAATAAACTTCTGGTTCAAATTTTCCACACAAACACAATTTTAGTTTTTAAATCAGTTCTTACACTAATAGGAGACCCAAATAAAGTGTTCTTTCTTGTAATAATAGTATCTTACGGAAATAAAAGCATTTTTGTGTGGTTTTAAAAATTCTTTTAGTTCCTATAAACTCCTACGGGATGTGTCCACGCATGGTTTAGTGATCTTATTTTTCCTTTTGGTCCTACCAGCGCAGCTTGTCTGTGGCAACTACCCCTGGGTGGCTGCAGAGACTTCTGCTTCAACACCTTGCAGCTCTCACAGCTCCCCCCAAAAACGTGGCCAAGCTTGCAAGTGATCTTTGGCCAACCTTGCAGCCAAGTAAGATGGAAGGGCAAAAACAGAGCTTAAAGTAACTCAGGCAGGATGCTGTCTCCAATACTTGCCTACCTGTGCAAGCAACTCCAGACTGCCAGGGAGATGAGTCCTAAAGCCCTTACTGTGCATGATATAGATGCTCCTACAGCAGCATCTGGAGATCCTTTTTAGAGCTTCCCTGTGCTAGATATTGTATAGTGCAGATATGGTAGATGTTGTGCAGACACGCATTGAAGAGACAACCCTGGAAAGTTCATAGCTCGGTGGCCTGATCCCACTGGGGCAGAGCTGCGTGCTGGAAGTCAGCAGTTCATACGCAGGAGATGCGGTAGCCTCTATGTTCACCTGAAGCTGAATCAGTCCACTGAGGAGGTGAGAAGGAGACCAAGGCAGAGTGCACTTAGTGGATTAGGTTTGCACCAATTGTTGTGGGTGGATAGAGGACATATAAAATGGAGAAAATCCACCATGTAAAGCAAAGGAGGAAATGAAATAATCAAGTACTTGAGATGCCAGATGAAAAGCATCTTTATCTGCAAACAGAAGAAAAATGTGGTTTTTCTTATCAATATATAGGTCAGCACAGCACATTACATCCAAACTCTGATGTTAAATCTTCTCCCCTGCCATCTGATCCATTAGGGCCTGGCCCTGCAGGATGATGGTCTATGATACATTTTAGCATTCAGATGAGTAGAAAACAATACAGTGAAAAATGAAAAAGGAAGATTGTTCTGTAAGTGCCCGAGTGGAGGAAGCCTGCTTTCCTACACATTTATACTTAGATACTGGATGACTGGGGTACCTATGAAAGGGCAGGATCTTGTCAGGGCTTTTCCCATTTGTGGTACATTGATAAATTATCTTTCATACACTCCCATATGGAATCGCTGGTGTTGAATAGATTGTACTCTCATTTTGTAGCTGCTCTCTGAATGGAAGGCACTCAGAGGGGTTTGCCTTTCCACTTGGCTGCACATTTTATTGAACTCGTGAGAAATTAGTATCACCAGTGTTCTGTCAGATAGGGTTGAAAGCAATCAATGGGCTCAAAATTTCTAGAGGAGAGGTTTGGAGGGACAGAGAGGCATACGCTCATGTACCCACACCCACACATACTCAGCACAAGCGCGTAAGTCTCATTTCCTCAGGAAACAGAGCTAAAAATATATAGCACCCAAGACCAGCTGGGTGTACCTGCAGGCCCTGGGCAGCCATCAGAGCTGTGCATGGAACAGACCAAGCTCTGTCAGTTGGCTGATGGATCTTTTTTTTTTCAACATGTTTAGTACATCCTCGTGACTGAGCAGTAGACAGGGCTGAAATCAGCAGAGCTTTGCCCCCAGCCCTGTTCTTTTTTTCCAATATGTCTCTAATCTGTTTTTCCTCCTTTGCTCCTGTTACAGGGTAGGGAAGGTGCCTTCATGGTGAGAGATTCGAGGCAGCCTGGCATGTACACCGTCTCTGTTTTCACCAAAGCATTAAGGTACAGCTGAGCTCAGCAGCTTTTCACATCAATTACATCAATGAAATGGCTTCTGTGAGAGTGTAATTGCTGTAGTTGTTTTGGCATTATAAAGAGAGAGCAGAAGGCTTATGAAAATGATAGAGGAAAACACTTCCAAAAAAGGCAGAAGAGTTAGCTGCTATTCGCAAAGTGTATTAAAGGCTCCACTTTTCCCTGCATCTAAATATATGCCTATAAATAGTGCCTTAGGCATCACTGGGGTTGCAATTTTGATGAAATTGTCCCCTCCAACTGAAGTGTTGGTAGGATCAACATGGACTATATGCTGGACTCATCAGAGGTGGGTAATACAAGACTAGTGAAAGGGTTTCAGTGATGGGGCAGAAAGTTTTGTTTCAGAAAGAAGAGGCAGAGAAACTTAGTACTCAACCTGCTCTTATCGGGAAACCTCAGCCTTTCTAGAGATGAGACCATCTGAGCGAGAAGGAGAACATGCAAGTACACAGCTTTTGTTAGCAATTGCAGCTCACTCCTTGCTCCTTTCCCATTCGTTCTGCATAGGGAAGGTTCTCCCTTTTGCTCATTTGCTCCTCTTCCACTTATACCTCAGATTCCTGTCTTTTTGCTGCAACCTAGTTTTCCTCAAAGAAAACCTCCTCTTTTTCAGCACGGATAACAATCCCGTTATAAAGCATTATCACATCAATGAGACGACTGAATTTCCCAAGCGATATTACTTGGCAGAAAAGCATGTATTTGACTGCATCCCTGAACTCATCAACTATCACCAGCACAATGCAGGAGGTGAGTGAAGGCTGATGCTGACGAGGAAAGCTGCTGTTTTACCATGCAGCCAGGTGACTGCTTTGAATGAAGGAAGGCTCCCAAGCCCTCTGCACTCACAATGAAACATTAAATGGCATCACCTTTTCTTCCATTTATCCTGGCACTTGGATGGCAGGAAAATTACCATCTCAGGCCAGCTTCCAGCATTACATCTTCTTTCTGGTCATCCTTCTAAGGCTGGCTATGATACTGTAATGTTGTGACAAGGCCAGTATCCATAGCCAGACATGGGAGTCACTAAAGGCTCCCAAACCTACAGTCCAGTAGTACCAAGGGAAACCCTGGGCTTCAAAAATACTCTAAAAATGAAAGGTATAATTTGGAATTTCATCACAGTTAAGAGAAACTCACAGCTCAAATTTGCTGACAGAGTGAAAATGGGAAATAAGCTGAAAATGCTCAGAATTGGCTTACTTCTAGCAGGCAGGAAATCGCAGTCTGAGTAGAGGTTCAGCTGCCCTCAAGTGGAGCTGAGAACTCATTGCAATAAATCTGCTCCCAGTATCCAGTGACAGCCACACTTCCCATGACTGTGACAGTAACTGGAACCCGTCTTTTCCTCTGCTATTCAGGTCTTGTCACTCGTTTGCGGTATGCAGTCTCTTCTTGGAGAAAAAAGGCCCCCATCACTGCAGGGCTGAGCTACGGTACGGTACTCTTATGACTATACAGGAATCACACTTCTTGCTGCTTAGCTGGGCGATCCTGAATATCCCCATAGATATTGACAAATATTAATGTGACTACCACCACAATAAACAGCTTTCTTCTGATCTTTACACTGCAGTATTCACTAGATTATCATCTTTGTCATTACCATTGATACCTGAATGAACTGATCATGCGGTGCAGTGCCTTGAGGGAGGTGATGAGAACCCCAGGGTCTTAATAAAATCAACATTAAATACTGAAATGAATGATGAACAAAGGTGACGGGAGTAGGAGCATAGCATAACTTGGTGAAAGCCTAGTCCCTCCTGAAAGATCTTCCATTTGCATATTGTTTACAGAATTTTGCTGGTATCATATGAATGCCTAGTCCCTCCTGAAAGACCTTCCATTTGTATATTGTTTACAGAATTTTGCTGGTATCATCTTTATTGTAACTCTTGGAGACTTCCAAGAAACTCAAAACCGTGTTGTGCTCAGTAGTGCACATATGCATGGTAGAAACAATCCTCCCTGAAGAACTAGATAGACAAGATAAATGGAGGAAAAAAGGGGATGTTGTTGTTCCTATTCTTGAACATGACCTGCAGCATGGACTAGTCAAATGAGCTACCAAAGATCAGACAGACAATTTCAGGGAGAGCCAGAAAGTCTCACTTCAACTCCCATCTCAATGTTTAACCCACAAAAGCTTTTTGTTTGACATTTTACTGCTAGATCCTTACTCTTTCTCCCTTACAATTAACAGGAAAATTGGTCATTAACCCTTCTGAGCTCACCCGTGTACAAGAAATTGGCAGTGGTCAGTTTGGGGTGGTCTACCTTGGCTACTTGCTGGAGAAGACAAAAGTAGCCATAAAGACCATTCGTGAGGGAGCAATGTCTGAAGAGGATTTCATCGAGGAAGCCAAAGTCTTGATGTAAGTCATAGATTCACCAAGAAAACCAGACCCTGTACGATTCATGAGACTGAACCAAAGTGTTGTGATAATGTTCAAGAATATGAACGGGGGATTTAAACTTGGATTATCTACTATGTATCTAAATAGCATAGAGAAAGACTGGTGAGCTCTGGTGGTTACAAAGGAAAGTAATTCAAAGTGTAGGTGAATTACTATGCTTCTAAGTCTATCAATATCCAGAATGGTCTTCCAGATGTCTGCTGTTCTGGGAGGCAGGGTTAATTGATGGTTTGTTTTGAAGAGCAAAGTGGGTTTTGTCAAAAATAATTGGATGGAGAAATCTCTTAAAATTTGAGGGAAATTTTATTGAAAAACCTTACCTGCAAATTTTTTTTACTTTGCACAACTGAAAATATTTCTCTTTGGTTTTATTGACTTTGGTTTTATTTTTTGTATTTCCCTCCCTTCAAAACAGACAGAAATGGACTTTATTTTTGTTTGACTGGGTGATTTTCCATGCAGAAAATTCTTTTGGTGACCATTACCATTGAAATAGAATACTTAGTGCTACCTGACATTAGACTTGGTCTACACATTTTCTTGTTTCTCCTTTTATAGTTGGCCTTTGCAGAGAGAAGGCTGCAGCAGGGTGACATGGGTGGCCATACATAACACACTTGCTTTAAGGATAGAAGGCACTGAGCCTATTTCAGCCTCTTTTCCACCTTCCCTCCTATCCCACAGGAAGCTGTCTCACCCCAAGCTAGTCCAGCTTTATGGCGTGTGCTTTGAGAACACTCCCATATGCCTGGTGTTTGAGTTCATGGAGAACGGCTGCTTGTCTGACTACCTCAGGAGCCAGCGGGGCAGTTTTTCAAAGGAAACCCTGCTGGGGATGTGCCAAGATGTGTGCGAAGGAATGGCTTATCTGGAACAAAACTCTGTCATCCACAGAGACCTGGTATGTTGGTCCCACATAGACTTTTTCTCTGCTCCAGCTGAGCTTTTCCCTGTGTTTTCTCCCTTCCTTAATTTCAGCTTTCACTCCTCCTGCCTATCTGTTGACAGGGGATCCAGTATCTCCCCTTATTGCAGAAGCAGCATCAATAGTTTAGGGAAGAAAAAAAAACATCCCCTGGAGCGCTGATTAATCTGTTTCCCTTTATCGTGTTTGGGAGAGAAGAAATGAGGACATAAAGTTTCCCTCTTTTTCTGAGTGGACTCTTTTGCTCCCTGAGAGCCCCAGCTCCCACAGTTCCTGCGTACTGAGCACTTTTCGTGCCTAAAATCAGCAAAGATGCCAAAGAGAGCTGTTCTAACAGATTTATAAACATGCATTGCTGATAAAATACTTTTAATTACATAGTGTTCAATCAAGCTGCATCAGTCACTGCTGTTGTTTTGTTAGGGGAGCAAGGACTGTGAGTAGCTGTGGATATTTCAGGGTCTTTCTCTGCCCTTTCTGGCCAACAAGGGCCTGCAAGTCAGACTGATGGTTGAACAGCTTTTGTGGCAACAGGAACATGCTGGCCATAAAATGTACAGAAAGCATGAGAACCTCAAGTTTTCGCCCTCTTTGTATGGTACGATGTCACTTTGATTCTCCCTTTTTTTAAGCACTGTCTGCTCTGCCAGGACAAAAGCAACTGAGTGGCTCTGACAGTGTTTCAGCTCTGACCTAATGCCTTTGCACCTTCTTTTCTTGCAGGCTGCTAGGAACTGCCTGGTGGGGGAATCCCACGTGGTCAAAGTGTCCGACTTTGGGATGTCCAGGTAATGCTGCCGAGGCTGTACACGCTCCCCGCGGGGTTGTCACAGGATGGGGGGAGTTACTCAACACACTCCCTTCTTTTCCTTTTCCAGGATTGTCCTTGATGATCAGTATACCAGCTCCACTGGTACTAAGTTTCCAGTCAAGTGGTCTGCTCCAGAGGTTTTCTCCTACAGCAACTATAGCACCAAATCTGATGTTTGGTCATTTGGTAAGAACGTCTTGTCAGAATGGGAAAAATTCAACAAATGACAGCTCAGAAAACCTAGGGGCTTGGTCCTCAAGTAACCTCTCCTAAACACTACATCCTCTGGGCTCCAAGGGTGTTTGGCCTGAATAATGGCTTAGGAAAGCAAGCCTAAATCATTTAAATGAAAGAAAGGAAAGAATAGTAAACTACCTAGATTCCTTGGAACACTGCAAATACTGCCAATCTAATGCATGATACTTGTCCAATCCTATATAATACCAAATACTGAACTCTATTTCATGCTGATATAGCAAGAGTGTCCAAGAAAAGGCTAGAGAGTCACTGACAAAATTATATAAGGAAAGGAAAGGAAACGAAAGACATTTAGGCACTCCATCTCTCTGCATGTCAGTCCCAGGCACTGATGCTGCACACAAACCCTCTGCCTTTTCAGGTTTGCTCTGCTGACTCCATTTGCTTTATGCCAATCTGAAAATATTATTTCACTGCTCACATTTTCTCACCTCATTTCCTGCTCCCCAATGCATTGTTTTATGATTTGCACCTCTTCTTTGGTCTCCCTTCTGGACCCACCCTCACAGATAAGAAAACCATTGTATATATTTTCCCCCAAAGCCATTGGCACTGGAGATAACAAAGGCTATCTGGCACACTAATTTATCTGGCCCATCTCCAGCTAGCATGCAAATCGCGGTACTGCAGAATGAATCGCCGCAGTGTGCTGTGCACAGCACACAGTCAATGGGGTGCCACTCAGCTCCAGGCCTAGCAGTAAATAATGCAGGATTATAACCTTTGCTAGTCTGTGCTTGTGAATTCCGTGCTTCCCTCTCCCTTTACTGTGTGCTGCTGTGGTTGAACTGAGCACTGGTTGAAGCTGTGCATTCCCGTGGTGGGTTACGAACAGCATAGGGGGAGCTGGGTGCTCAGCCCCACGCAACCGCCTTTGTGAGCCCAACCTGGAGATGCTTCAGAGAGCACCATTCCTCTTTCTGTGTCCCCTGGCACGTGGAAGAGGCTGTCAGTAATAATAAGGGACAACATTTGCCAGTGGATCTATCACTGACACCTCACAGCAACATGGCAGTGTCATGAGATCCTACTTTGATAAGAATGTTCTTCTGCTTCACAAATCAGAAACTGGCCTGTGCATTGAGAGTCAGATGCTTCCAAAAAGGGTGCTCAGTTTGATTTACAGTCAAGCCAAGCCTGGTGAAGTTGGCTCACTCCAGTTTCAGGGCTGAATGAAATACCGGTGAGCTTTGTTTGCGTTGGTCAGTGCAGACAGCAGTGTTGTACATCTGTCAGACTTGTTATCTCCCCATCCAGTGGGGTTTGCATAAGAGGATTCCTCTGTCATGTCATGGTCTCATGACTGTGAGAAGCTTTCTGCTCCACTACCCTACAGCCCATTCATCTCTTCTGCCAGACCTGAAATCCTGCTGTGCCCAGGAGAACAAAATGGGTGTGAGAAATTCCCAGTGCAGGAATTTGCACACTGGGGGAGTACAACTGCTTTGCTTATTCTTCAGTAGAGCCAGTATCATTGGTGAGGAGCTGCAATCTCTATGCATCTTCCCATTTGAAGAATTCAAAGCTGGAAAGCAGGCATTATTTAGCAAAGTTGACTGTGGAGTTACACAACTTTATTTCAGATCAGTCTATCTATCTGTCTGTCTCCCTTTTCTAATACAATGTGAACACAGTTTACCAAGTCAGTCGTATTAGCTGACCAAAGAAATCAAACCTAATAATAACACAGATGCCTTGTATTCACTCCACTTGCAGAGCCTCTCTGATCTGGTCACCAACCACAATATATTCCAGAATCTTTTTGTCTTTGCCTCTCTTCCACAACATTAGAGAAGCACAACTTTCTGTACAGCTCTGAACCGTAATCACAGGACAACATTTGATGGTTTAGAAAAAGACGAAAAATGTGCTGTGATCCTTTGAAATTCCACTGTCATTGGGTATGAATTCATCCCAGTGAATCACACCATCTGGGACGTTTTACAGGCAAGGAGTTCCCAGTACTGAGGCTAAGCTGACTAACAGGAATGGAGAAGTTCATATTGCTTTCTTGCTCCTGAGTCTCACCAAAATACAAGCAGATTCTAGTGTAGGACACACTGCAGGCAGGAACATCAGTGACATGTCTCTTGTATGGGATTAACTGGAAGCAAAAATAGATAAACTGAATCAGGGCAAAAAGCAGGTTCTCTTTCCCAGATTACACATCTGGATGGAGTACATGCACAAGCATTCCCTCTTCTTCACAGTTTGGGAGAAGACATATGACACTGCTCTGCTTTCTGACACATAAGACTTCATCTGACTCATGCGGAAAGACATCCCTGTCATGCAAGACTATCTTAAAGCAGGATGCAGAGAAGTCAAACTTGCAGTCACCAAACTGGTACTTCCATACAGTCCAGTGCCCACCTGAGATCCTAGCTGGCATCCTCAAACTGTACAGCTGTGTTAGGGACTGATTTTTCAGAAGTGTACCGAGAATCTGAGTGAAAATGCTTTTCCAAGTCATAGACACCAACACTGAGCTACAGAGAAGAGCAGGTGAAAGGCGGCTGTGGGCCTGCTGAGGCTTTCACTTGCTGCTTTGTGATTTTTCTCATTTGTTTGCTTTAGGAGTGCTGATGTGGGAGGTCTTCAGTGAGGGTAAAATCCCCTATGAGAATCGCACCAATGGAGAAGTGGTGGAAGAAATCAATGCAGGATTTCGGCTCTACAAACCCAAGCTGGCCTCCAAGGTGATTTATGAGGTCATGAGCCACTGCTGGAGGATGGTTAGTATTGTAATGGGAGAGCCCTAGTTCCCAAAGACAAGAGCTGTCTTCCCCTTGGCTTTTAGGAGGAGAGACAGGTATACACTTCACATGCTAACACAAGATAAAATCCTGGAGGTGAAGCACTCTGTAGCTTTCATCCATGCTAGCAAGCAAATTCTAGGCTCTCTGCCTTTTATTTAAGCTGCTGTTTCTATAGACTGTGTTGACTTCACTGAGACATCTCGCTTCCTAAGAAAGCTGTGGATCTGCAGGGCTGAGTTTCAATAGTGATGGTAAAAATGACAGCCAACCCATTACAAGATACTTAGTGTCCACTAGGCAAAATTCACTGCTAGTAGAAAAGAAACATTGCACAGAAGGGGAAGCTCATTCTTCCGTTGGCATTTTCTCTGTAACAATAGATTGTATTTTTGTTAATACCCAGTTTTTTCACAAGATTTTCTTTCCTAACCTTGCTATTCCTCTCAAGCTGACATTAACGTTCTCCCTCTCTCTTCTCCCCCCTGCTCAGAAGAAAGACGACCGGCCATCCTTTTCTGTTCTGCTGTATCAGCTGAGTGAAATCTCTGAATTTGATCTGTAATCATGGCACCGCCCGCTAAGCAAAGCTAAGAGAGTCCTGAGAGGGCAGATGGCTGGATTTTCCCCACACAAAGCATTAACAGGAATCCTCTCACCACAAACACTTGCCATATGCCTGGGGAGAAGGAGAGGGCAGAGGCTGGTACTTCCAGACAGACAAGATATCCCCACGTCTTCCAGAGCCTAGACAGACAGAGGCTTTGGTTTGGCGAAGAATGTGCTTTGCATCCTACAAGCAGAAGCACCAGCTGAGCACAGAGTCCTGAACCACACAGCCCAGCAAGTGTATTTCTCCTGAAGATACAGCCTCAAAACTAAGAGATCTGACATTGCTATTCCAGTTCCGTGAACTCCCAAATGAAGGTCTTCCCCAGGGAAAAAAAAAAAAAAAACCAAACCTGTCTTTAGCCAAGAAGGAACGTTTAGACATTTCCATGGCTGTCTAATTCAGAGTGGGCTGGACCTGAAAGCTCTTAACAGGAACAAGCCTGGGACACACGGGAACAGACTGGATTTAGTGACTGCATTTCTGATGCTGATATTGCAAGGTGGTTTTGTTCTCGCTTTGCACGATTTTCTCTGAAACTGTGGCATAACAGGAACAGGATTCTGGTACCTAGTACACTGAAGAGGTGTCTACATGTGCATGTAAGTTTATGAGGAATGATAAAAAAAAGCAACGTGTTGAAGAATCTTGAAATTCTCTCAAATTGCATTGTATAGTGAGTGGGGAAATGGAACTCATGCAAATGGAGACATTCTTGGAGGGGGGAAGTCAAAGCTATAAGTTTGTATTGGTTTTTTCTTCGGTCTTTCTATGTCAGAAGATAAATACACGATCTCCATCCAATTTCTTTGAACAGAGTATGGAGGACGGAGCAGTGCTGAGTGCTATGTGTTTCCAGTCCAGGATGAGACAGGATCCTAGGATCTGATTGTCTGTGAAATGTACAGGAACCTACTCCTGAACTGGTGTGTTTGGAAGGAAGGAGCTGGAGGGCTCAGAAGGGTAGCCATGAGGAGAAAACATACAGAATATGTGCTCAGTGCACTAGTGATAAGAAGACGAGTTTTCTCGTACTTCAAAGCGTAACTGAATCATCACAAGTAAACACTTTTCCATCTCTTCCGTGAACAAAGGGACTGATCAAAGAAAGTCCTATGGGAATGGACTGCCTGGGTACTTACTCCATGAGGAGTTCCACATTATGTGGTGACAGCAGAAGAGGGTATGAACAATATCCATCTCCTAGTATTTCAGTTAAAATCTGTATTTTCACCACAAGACAGAGACACTGTTTTGACATAACTGACCTCAAAACCAAAAGTGTGGGTGTTGGTGTCCTGCAGAATTTGTAAATAAGATCAGGACTTTCTGCTAAGCATTAACAATAACTAGATAAGTCAAGAGGACTCACAGATGATATGTGCATATATGCAGTATGTATTTTTGATGCTTCTCTGTTTGGGCAGGTGAGAACATGAGTAAACCTTACATGACAGCAGTTTACAAAAACTCTGAGGTGCAAACTTCCAGCAGGAACCTCTCCCGTCATTACAAAACTCAGGTTCAAATATGTTTGCCAACAAAAATGGAAAAAGGAAATAATGTAATCCCATGATCTCACATATCCTGTGTCAAACTATTTCTTCATAGAAAGAGGATTAAGTTTTGGTATTTTTCAGACTCATGGTTCTAGGGTAGCTTTTAAGAGCCACAATATCTTTTCAGGTATATGGATACAGGCAAGGTATTAGTTCCTGCCTTATACATCTTCCCATTTCGCTTTGATTTCACATTGTTTTCTTTGGTTTACTCCTACAAATATCATGCAGAACAACTCTCCCAGGCAAGGACAATCCTAACATTCAGACTGGAGGTTGTCAATCCTAAATGCAGGATCAGAGTGCTACCTTGAAATCAGGATTGCTACCAAAATCTCTCGGTAGTCTGAACCAATATGTGGAATATGAACAGCTATAAACAGGTTTTGAATTTTTGCCTACAGTGAATTTAAGCTAAGTTTCTCTTTGTCCCTCTCATCCTTTAGTCTGAGTTAGCCTGTTGTCACATTCTGGTGATGCCAAATTTGGCATTTAGCCAGTGAAGTTTTCAGTAGCCCTAACCGTGTTAAACATCACATCTACAGCTAAATTTGAGGACAGCTGGCCATAACCCTATTTTCTCCCCCTCTCGATTGCACTTAGACAATCCGTACAACCACAGCATACTCTGAAATGATTCTTCCCTGAGCACAGAGAAGCTGTGGCAGGGATATCTGCAGGCCCACCAAGTTAAGCTTCTGGCTTGCTGCCTCCTCCATCCTTGGAGGAGCTAGGGGTCTGTTGAGCTTGAGAAGGTTGCTATTAAATAGCAGCAATATTGCTTTGCTACGTAATGTTTCTGAGATTATATTTATATTTCGATAAGTGTAATATTTATTAGCTAGAGAGTGTTGCACAAAATAACATTGTGATGTTTTACGTTCAGTTTTCTTTGACAATATTTCTGTGTACACGATATGTATTTTTACAAACAATAAAACTGCCAAGTCCTAGCTGTGGCTTTCACTATACATTAGCAAAAAAGCAAAAACCATCCTCATGCATTTATAACAATACAGCTTGCTCTTCCTCCAAATGCTCCCCACCAAGAAGCAAACAGGCTTCTTCTGGCTTTCTGAATTCTCCCTGTTCCCCAGAACTATGGCTATGTTCTGGGGTTAGATTATGTGCTGCGTTTGTGGGGGTAGGAAGTATTCTGAATCTCTGCAAATTGGGTAATTTACTATATGGACACACAGATTTTTAAGTCTAAACATCCATTGTGGTGGCTTTAAGTTATCTGAATCTTCATAAAATGGGGTAGTAACATTTAAGTACTCCCAAAGCGTGTTTCCCCACAGTTATTTACAGGGGACTTCACGAATTTCAAAATGTAGTGCCATACTGTGATAACTACATGGCATCAACACACTGTAACACAGTCTTCTCCCACCATAGCAGTTTCTAGGGCAAGTTTAGGCCTGTGCCCTTCACATGGCTTAACTAGATATGTTCCCCACAAAGTGGAGGTGAGAATATCAGTCTCCTGCCAGAAAGTGAATAACTCTTCTCTGAATACCCCTTCCCTGTCTCCTTGGAAAGTATTTGCAATGTGCTGAATGTTTGAACCATTCCCCCTTTGCCAGTTTGACCCTCTTTGCTTGGCTGTATTTCAGAAAGGTGGAAGGTTGTGCTTGTCCCTGCCTTTGCCTGCTGGTTATCAGAGGCAGTGGGTGCACAACTCTGCCTACGTTGCACATTTGGCCAGAGCCGAGGCCCCGAGCACTGTCCCAGCACGTCCCCGACCTGCTGCTGCGATGGCCGGGCGCTGGCACAGCCAGGCTGGCCTCCCAGCTAGGAAGAGGCAGTCAAGCAGTAACCTCATCTAGAAAGAGCAGCTGATGCTTCTCAGTGGAGACCAGGGGCTGGAGCGCAGCGTTAGCCATGAAGAGCTCTTTCCTGGGCATGTGTTGGCCACCTCAGGGAAATGGCAGTTGTTGGTACTTGTTCCAGTGGATAATTACCTTAAAATCAGGCCTGAAAAGATCTAGAATTTCCCGAAACATTTTTTAATGAACATGTTTCTATGGGATGTTTGGCTTTGTCCTCTCTGAATGCTGTGCTCATCGGCATGGCAGGATTCAGGTAAATGGCTCTGCTAAATCTCAATTGGCAGCCACTTCAAATTTGTGTGTATTCTTCTGTTCAGCTCACCCCACCATCATGTTATCTCTCCCCTCCACATGTAACCAGCTGATGCACCCACGCCTGCGTCTGTAGCTGCATGGGGCCTGCCCCTCGCTGCCATTCTCCCCAGCCTGCAGAGAGATCTGCAGGACAAATGCAGAGAAGCTCATTCTATTATTCTATGATCTAAGACAACACAGAGTAGAAAATTAAAATAATATCATAACATTCATGGAATTCTCATCACCCTGAGCCTGGCTGATAATGGGAGCAGATTACACTGTGTAAAAAAAAGAGTCCACAGCAGTTTTTACTGCCACAGTTTTCTTGAACTGACCTCACAGCTCAGAGCAATATTAGCTGTTAAATCTTTTTGGACCTGCATTAACAATGCTCACTTACTGAATTTTTCTGACAAGCAATAAATAGTAAAAAGAGAAGTGATGGCTACAAAATGTTCCAGTCAAATGTGAGAGACAGAGGAAATGCTATGCAGAAGGAGAAGGGTCCACTCTCAGAGATGCTATTAATAGATTTTTTTCAGGTGTGGTCCTGTCTTTTAAAACAAAGATAGCTCCTAAGACTGTCTTGCTGTTTTTGTAGTTTGCAGACAACAGAGCCTTCAGCCGATGGCACCCATTCAACTTACAGTAGCAGAGCTACGGTGTAAACCTGGTGTCCAAGCTTCCCTGCGGAGCCAGCATATACCCATGGGGAGCAAGCTCAGCCCCACACTGGCATGGACCACAGAGCAGCAGTCTCTAAGGAATCAGGAGTGGTCACTCTAATCCCGGAGGGGCTGGTCCATTTTTAGCACAGGCTGATGCTCAGGAAAGGGACACTGCCAGGGCCACCAAGGAAACGTAGCTAGACCTGGATCTAGACTTTCAACAGTCCTTGGGTATCCACCAATGTCTTTCAACAAACAAAGAGACAGCTGCATCAGAAGCTGAGAGGGCTGCAGAAAAATGAATGAAGGCCTCATACAGGGTTGCTGTCAATCACCATGAGGCGATGTTCCTCTGAAAGCTGTTAAGAGGTCCACTTTGGATTTCACAGTAGATCTGAAGGGCTGTATTGGAGCTTTAAAAAGAAGCATGAGCAGAAGGACTGGAAACTTGTCCCTGAAGAAATGCCAGATGCCAAAAATGCCAAAAGGAAGATCTTTTGTATGTGGTGCTGACTCAGAAGAAGTTTGGAGCTCTGAGCAAAGGCATTGCCTTCTGGTTTTGGTCCCTAACAATCCAAGGGGCTCAGTGATCCAAGGCT